TTACATTGCCCGTGATCTAGCCTTACCAGGCTTCCACACCCTCCATGCCATCGATTTTAGATCACTTGTTGTTCCCTTGTCCCTGGGTTTGTTAACATCCACTTCCTTTTCCCTGCTTTCCCCTCTCCTGTGTCCTCTTGGAACTGTTGGTCCATTTGTTTCCTTCTCCAGATTGTTTATCCTTGAGGATGATATAGGGCCGACCCCACTACAAGACACAATGTCCCTCACTGACTGGTAGCACTACAGGGGACAACACTGGACACACATCATGGGAATTGCACCGGATCTGACTCCACCACACCGAGGGGAAACACTAAGGGTGTGCAACAGAACAGCAAAGGGAGGAGAGCAACGAAGTCCGAGGGAGTACCAAAAATAGACTTTGGGGCCAGGGCTTGGCTCCCTATCAGACTCAACCGGAAAATACTCCTAAAGGTCAACAAACAGACCTTGAACTATTTACAGGCTTTTATTTTTTTGTCGTTGTTTTGTTGCTTTGTTTTGCTCTGTCTTGTTTTTTGTGTATATTATTATCTCTGCAGGTATATCTAGGCAAGATAGGAGGGATAAACCATCTGGAGCAGAATAAATTTTTAATGGCAATTAGTAACACTCTTCTAAGTGAGAAAGCTGTCATTTTTCTCACAAGACTTGACAGTAGTTAGAAACTGAGATTTCTATCTTTTCATTGCCCCTTACAGCAGTGGTTCTCAACCTTTCTAATGCTGGGACCCTTTAATACAGTTCCTCATGTTGTGGTGACCCCCCAACCATAAAACTATTTTCATTGCTACTTCATAACTAATTCTGCTACTGTTATGAATCATAATGTAAATATATGATATGCAGGATGTACTTGCATTGTTATAAATTGAACACAATTAAAGCATAGTGATTAATCACAAAAACAATATGAAATTTTGTCTTGAAGCATGGTGTAGCATGGCTAACAGTCTTCACACAGGGTACTTGTACTGTATGTGGGTGTATCTGTATGTGGGCGGACCAGCCTGGAGACGGATAGAGGAGTGGTGTCTTGGTTCCTAAGATGATCAGAAATATGTGTTTTCTGATGGTCTTAGGGAACCCCTTTGAAAGGGATGGTCGACCCCTAAAGGGGTTGCGACCCACAGGTTGAGAACTACTGCCTTACAGCATTTGAGAGCGGCAAACTTTTCTTCTGGAAGCCCAGGGAAGGGAGAATAAACACTTCTGTTGACCATGCATTCTGGGATCTCACACAGCCCAATTTACCTCTCTCAGAATCTCCTGGAAACCCCAGTGGAGGGCCTGCGTGGGTATGAACATCACCACCGTGGGTATGAACATCACCACCGGCACTGAAGGCTCCATGTGCACATGCTCTTATTTCATCCTTACAACAGCCGAGCACAGCTGTGTTCATCATCATCTCCGCTGTGTCAGTGGAGACATCTGAAAGCCAAGCGATGAATTCCTGCGCACAGAGGCACACCGGCCACTCTTCTTCTACCCCACCATCCCGGCGGTCAAAGGGGCTGGGAAGGGACCAGGGCCATTATTAAACACCTAAAGATTTTCATCTGAGTGCCTCTGAGCTGAACCTAGATTCATCTGGGGAACAAAAATCATACAAGAGCATCCATGACTGGTGGCCGCAAAGTTGAAGTCACGCACAAACCAACTGCAGCCGTTGCTCTTCCTTAACCCTTCATCTTCAAGGAAGGTCGCCTCACCACTCCTCCCTCAGTGTGTCGCAGGGCCACAGACGTAAGGCTGACCCTGAAGATCCTCAAGGCTGAGCTGAACAGGTTATAAAGTTGTGGTTTCCAAGAAAAACCAACCCCACTGCCATCGAGTCTGTATTGACTCGATGCGACCCTATGCGAGAGAGTAAACCCACTCCCTAGGTTTTCCACAGCTGTAAATCTTTTTTGTTTTTTTTGCTTGTAAATCTTTAGAGAAGCAAAAGACCTCTTTTTCCTCCCTCAGAGCAGCTGCTGGACTCGAAACACCAACCTTAGGTTAGCAGTCTAACACGGAACCCATTGTGCCACGTACTCTCATTTCCAAGATAGGAATGATGTCTTTCATTTCACACTGCCTATGCCAAGACAACTGATCCAACACTAACTATTCTGTTCTAAATGATCTTTCCTGTGTCAGGAGAGGCATCTGAGTTTACATGGGTGGCTTTCAAAATGGAGATGTGGTTTCCGATTTAAAGGAAAAAAAAAAAAAAAACACCAAAAAAGAACAACCTGTTCTCAATAATTGGGATGAGAGAAACCATTCATTTTTTTAGGAGTTCTATTTTCTCTACTGAAATTTTTATAAAGGGAAGAAAGTGGAAGCATTGGTAATAAATTATATAGATGTACGCATGTATGTACATGTTGTTGTTAACTCAATCGTGACAGAGTAAAATCGCCCTGTCGGGTTTCCTAGGCTGAAATCTTTACAGAAGCAGTGGCCACAGAACAGCTGGGGCTGGCTGCAGAACCGGCAATCCATTGCTCATATGAAGTGCAGGTTGAAGTTGAGGAAAATTCAAGCAAATCTCCAAGGTCCAAAGTGTAAGGGAGGGCTTCAAATGTTTGTGAAAAAAATCCATTATCTTCAATGAACTTTTTTGAAGTCCCCTTGAACAACCTTTGTATACTCCACCAAATTTAGATATCATCTTAAGAATAAATCTGCCACACTGAACACTACTGACTGAAAACCAGATGACGTCATACGTGAAGAAGGAAAGCGAAAGGTCATTAAAAGACAGGAAGAAGAGAAATCACCGAAATGAATGTTAGGAGAGACTCTGGAACTTTCTCTTGAATGTAGAATATTTAAAACATAAGCAGGAAATCAAAGAAAAGAGTGGAACAGATTTCAAAGGGCTACTCAGGAAGACTGAAGTATAATGAAAAGTATAAAGAGCAGAGAACACAAGCAGCGTTTCTCCAGCTAAAAGAACTGAAGAACAAGTGTAAGCCTCCAGTTTCAATACTGAAGAACTGTTTGGGCAAAATTCTGAGTGAGGAGCAACATCAAAAGAACACACAGAATCACTGTGCTCAGATTGGTACCGGGGTTGACAGTCAATGAATTCAGGACGTTGTATACGGCCAATAACTGAAGCTATTGAAGGAAGAAGTGCAAACGACACTGAATGTGTTGGCAGAAAACGAAGTCCAGGAATTATAGAAATGCCACTTGAGATGTTCTATTGATATGCAAACGCACTGGCTATTCCGATCAGAACAAATTGCTGTTAACATTTCAAAGAATAGGCGTTTGAGACTCTTTCACTGTGCGCACATAGAACCGGGATGCGGACCAAGGGGCAGTCGGATGAGAACAGAATAAGGGGTTCCGCATTGTCGAGCACGGGGCAAGTGGACAGCAGGGCTGTATCTGCATGCTGAACAAATCACCAGAGAAAGTGGGACTGTGAGGAAAGGCTCAGCATGAGGATCGTTGGCGGCGCAGGAACACTCAGAGCCTGCAGATGACATGGCCTGGTTGACTGGGAGCAAAGGACCAGAATCACTTCCTGACGCAGCTCCAAGAAGACAGCCTTCAGTGCGGACGACACCTCAACCCAAAGAAAACCCAAGTGCTCACAACTGGACCAGCAGACAACATTCCGGAAACCGGAGAGAGGACTGATGTTGTCCCGGATTTCACTTTACTTGCCTCCACGGCCGATGGCTGAAAGCACAAGTCAAGAGATCACATGGCGTCTTGCTTTGGGCAAATCTGCTGCAAACGATCTTTAAACCATTTAAAAAGCAATGCTGTCCCTTGGCACCTGACCCAAGCCAGAGCATTTAAAATCACCTTACATGTATGTGAAAGGTAGACAACGAATAAGAAAAACGCAAGAAGGGCCGATGACTTTGCATTCTGATGTTCAAGAAGAATACTGAAAGTACCTCCACCGGCAAAAACCCAAACAAACCTGTCTTAGAGGAAGTCTAGCCAAATGCTCCTTAGAAGTGAGGGTAAGACGATTTCCTCTCAAGTACCTGAGACGTGCCATCTGGAGAAACCTGTCCCCGGGAGAGGTCATCATGCTTTACAATTACAGGGTCAGCACAAAGGAGGAACTCCTCAGAGATGGGCTGACACAGAGGCTGTGACCAGGGGATGGGTTCAAACAGGGGAATGCGTGTGAGGATGGTGCACGACCATGTAGTGCTGCCTTCTGTTCTACTCAGAAGGCTGCTATTGGCGGCATCTAACAACACTTTCTGGTGAACACAAGACAGGGTTCAGTTAGCTAACAAGCTCAAGTGAACAACCAAGGAGTTGGGTCTTCAGAAAGTAGCATTTCATACGGTCAGAGATGTCTATCTTACAAGCTCCCTTGGCAGGATTGAAGGAGGCACACGCCATTAGACTTTCTAGTCCTTTGGGACCACTGGTTTCCGACAAATCCATGGGTGCCCACTGGGGGAGCACTGCTGCTGGGCACCATCCCATGCAGTGCTCCACCACCTCGAAGCGAATGCCAAGGAAACGCACCCACTCCGGCCGAGGGAGACAGCATAGCCTACGCCCTCTTCTATCATCAGCTGGCTCCTAGGCATCAGGGGGAAGTGGAGGGGCTAGCTACCAAAAGGGATGACAACTGTCTTCTCCAAAGAACTGTGTACCCTGACTCACCCCACCCCCACCCCCACTTAGTG